TTTTGATGAATGCCCTCTACCGAGACAAATGTGATCTTCTGGTGGTCCGAGAACGAACATTCGGAGGATACTTTTCGGTTCAGTATCCACATTAGTCAGGGTGAGACCAATGATCTCCTCCCAATCTTTCTTCTGGAAATTATCCTCCTTTACCCTTTTACATATTTTGAGATTATGTCTAAAAATAAAATCAAAAATGGACTCACCTCTGGGAATGGTATCCTTACTGACCCCTTGATAGTGGTGTGCATTGATATTGTATTCAGCTGTACAAAATACTTTGTACATACTTTTGAGTGCAATTGAGGTGCTGGGAAAATCTAGCAATAAACAATAAATATTCTAAAATTATATATTTCCACCTGCCATACAACAACACATGTGAACAATTTGGGGATTTTGTGCGCTGACGCATACGATAATGTGAAAGATAATAAAGGTTATGACCCACACGCACAGATATCGAAGTGGTAAATAGATGTGCAAGACCACTTGAATGAAATATCAAGCAGCTCTGCAATGTTCTCCATTCAATATTAGAATAGATATGCATAATTGTGTGGCTGCGATTAGGTTAAGTTATGTTAGAGTCTGTAGTACTTAAGGAACGTATTCTTAAATAACAAGGTAAAAAGCACTAAGTTCGCCCGGGCCGAACTTTTAATACCCTCCACCATTTGCAACGAATGTGGAAATTTCGGCCAGGCCGAACTTTTAATACCCTCCACCATTTGCAACGAATTTGGAAATTTTTAAAAAATAAAATCCCAAAAAAATTCTGTTAAAATTTTAAAAATACCGAATATAGACGTTATATTGGGGTCAATACGACGTGGACATACATAGGCATTGTTTGTCATAAGCCATTACCATATTCAAATTGGAAACTTGAAATAAACGGTGAATAATGTAGCTAAAATCATCAAAATATCGAATATAAGGAGGTGCCGTTAAATTGCAGCTGTGCAAAGACCTGGACCAGCATAGACAATTTTCTGTCACAAGCTGTAGGATCCATTAACACATTTCAAACAATTTCGGTGGGTATTGTACCTAAAATCGTCAAAATACCGAATATTGGGAGGTACTGATATATGGGGCCTATACGAAGACCTGGATCCGCACAGACAATTTTCTGTCACAGACTGTAGTATTCATTACGAACTTCAAATACCAATTTTGAAACAATTCCGGTGAATAATGTCGTTAAAATCATCAAAATACCAAATATCGGGAGGTACCGTTATATGGAGGCTATACGAAGACATGGACTTGCACAGACAATTTTCTATCTTAGACTGTAGTATTCATTACGAACTTCAAATACCAATTTTCAAACAATTCCGGTGAGTAATGTCGCTAAAATCATCAACATACCGAATATAGGGAGGTACCGTTATATGGGGGCTATACGAAGACGTGGACCTGCATAGACAATTTTCTGTCTTAGGGTGTTGTTATCCATTTTGAGCTTCAAGTACCAAATTTGAAACAATTCCCGTGAATAATGTCGTTAAAATCACCAAAATACCGAATATCAGGAGGTACCGTTATATGGGGGCTATACGAAGACATGGACTTGCACAGACAATTTTCTATATTAGACTGTAGTATTCATTACGAACTTTAAATACCAATTTTGAAACAATTCCGGTGAAAAATGTCGCTAAAATCATCAAAATACCGAATATAGGGAGGTACTGATATACGGGGCCTATACGAAGACCTGGACCCGCACAGACAATTTTCTGTCACAGACTGTAGTCCCTATAACGAACTTCAAATACCAAATTTGAAGCAATTCCCGTGAATAATGTCGTGAAAATCATCAAAATACCGAATATCGGGAGATACCGTTATATGGGGGCTATACGAAGACATGGACTTACACAGACAATTTTCTATTTTAGACTGTAGTATTCATTACGAACTTCAAATACGAATTTTGAAACAATTCCGGTGAATAATGTCGCTAAAATCATCAAAATACCGAATATAGGGAGGTACTGTTATATGGGGGCTATACGAAGACGTGGACCTGCACAGACAATTTTCTGTCTTAGGGTGTAGTAACCATTTTGAACTTCAAATACCAAATTTGAAACAATGCAGGTGAAAAATGTCCCTAAAATCATCAAAATACCGAATATCGGAGGTACCGTTATATGGGGGCTATATGAAAACGTTTACCTACATGGCCCTTTTACGAACTTAACCTGCCTACTGGAAAAATAAACATGTGTGCAAAATTTTAGCCATCTATCTCAATTCATTCGAAAGATAGCGTGATTACAACAGACAGACAGACGGACAGACCAGTCCCAGATCATCAACACGGATTCCGAAAATTGCATAGCACAACAACAGCTTTACATGCCATTTCCACACATGTCAGTAGAGGTCTCAACCAGAACAGGCCGTGCGATAGAACAGTTATGGTGGCACTTGATTTATCAAAAGCCTTTGATACAGTCAATCATGCCACACTGTTTGAGGACATTGAACGCACCACCCTCCGGCCAAGTTTGAAACGTTGGATAGTAAACTACATGTGTGGACGCCAGTCGTACGTGGAATTCAGAAACAAGAAGTCGAGCATCCGTAGAGTTAAACAGGGAGTTCCCCAAGGTGTTTAACCTCTACCTTTCTGAAATTCCACGCAGATGATTGTACGCTCGTGGCGTACGGACCCATTATTGATCGCAACTCCCGTCGCAGCTGAAGAACGAGAGCTGCCCGGACAAACCCGAGTAGTCTTGGCTCAATTACGATCCGGATGGTGCAGCCGCCTAAATTCCTACTGGGCCCGGATCAACGGCGAAGTGCAGAACATCTGCCCAGCATGTGGCACAGGCCCACATGACACGCTGCACTTATTTCGCTGCCCAGCCAAGCCTACTCACCTAACTCCAGTCTCGTTATGGACACAACCCATACATGTTGCATCCTTTTTGAGACTGGACTTAGAGGCAGAACCTGATTGAACTGAGTCAGAAAATGGAAACCGAACGAACACAGATGTATGAGCTGCTACAACAACAACAACAACGGACAGACAGACAGACAGAAAGACGGACATCGCTAAATCGACTTAGAATTTTACGCTGATCAAGAATATATATACTTTGTTGGGTCTGACATGAGTATTTCGAGGAGTTACAAACGGAATGACAAAGTTAATATACCCTCCATAGTATGGTGGAGGGTATAAAAACTAGAATTGAATCAACACCCCAACGAAGCGGTCGTGTTTCTCTTCTCGCTTAAACACCAGCTATGAGACTGTCTTGCTTTCCAGCTCGGCGAACAGCTTTTCTACTACTAGGCCCTGTGGGTGGAGGTACTCGTAAGCCAGGTACAGTGAAACTAACCGCCATGGCGTCTCCTCCGCTGAAATTATAATGGAAGATTAAGTTCAAACTCCTTTTAGCGACGATACACGTTCTAACCTTATCTACGTTGGAGGTGGCGTAGGTGATGTACCATTCGCTTCCCAGGATCCCTTATTATTCCTTGGACCAGGGCTATGTCAACTTTAGCATTTGTGATACGTAACACTTTTAAGCCCGGCGTTACATTTCCTCCTTGCAGTTGAGCCGTCTGAATACTGCGTTTACAGTGTCTTGGAATACTAACTATAAATTTAAAGTCAAAGTCATATTTTTAAGCAATCTTGTCTTAATATAGTTTTTACTAAGCTCTAAGCTTGTAAAATTCCTGTTATACATTTGTCTGTTATCAATTCTTTATTATGTTCTGAATAAATTTTGTTATTTAAAATAAACTATTTATTATTGTTTCATTCGGTTATGGTATTATTTGAAAATATGTGCTTCTTTACACTTTTTTAGTATTTGAGAATAGGTTAGAACTTCATTAGTGTATATTTTTAACCATGTTGATGTTTCAATATCTAATGATTTTTCTGATGTTATATGCTTTATTGTATCATGTTTTGGTCATTTTGGATTGACTATTCCCAAACTAGTCAATTGCATTTCTAGTTCAATATATTCTGTATATTCCATGAATTGTTGTAAATTAAAATTTAACATGCTTATTTTGTGTTCTATTAGTTCTACATCAATTAAATTGTTAATTATTTTAATGTCTTTGTTAATATTTACAATTCTATCTTCAATTTTGTTTTGTAATTCTATTTTGTCTTCTTCGTCTGAAGTGGCAAACAAATATGTACTTATAAATTTTACATATGAAATGTATTGGACTTCTTTTAATATGTTTAATAATTCTAATACCATTCATTTTCCCTTGCAATTTTTCGACTAAAATTTTTATTTGTGTTAAATACTCTCTTGTAAGCTTTATTTATAGTCAGAACATTGTATTAGTAATCAATAGGTATTTCCGATTCACCTGTTATCAAATGAGGTATCCATGTTTGGCTATAACTGTATTTATCTTCAAGTTTTGGCTTTAAAACGTTTGTGTTAATATAAGTATAATGATAATGGTTAAAGGATTAATCATGATTTTCCCCATTTGGTTGCTACTCAGAGATGGAATTATTGTAGCCGCTTAAATTATTATTCTACTTCTTTTTAAATTTTGCTTTGTAGTGAACAATTCTGCTTCCTCTTTTAGTTTCTTAAAATGCTTTCTTAAAGGGTTAGTAATTTTAGATCTACGGTGACGCTTTCTTATAATTAGTATCTATCGAATTCACTTCGTTTTTAATTTAACTTTTAATTTTATTAATATTGTTTTCTTGCTTGTTGTATTCACCCGTTCCTGCATACATAAAAGTATCTGCTGGTGTATTACCTGTGCCATTGTGCTTAGTTTTGTGGTTGTAAATATAAAATATTGTTTCAAATTTGGTCATTTTATTTTCTTCATTTGTTGCATTCTGCCTACTCGGCGTTATGGTGGAGTTCCGCACTAGCTCAGGAGGGAGCGGTTAATCCAGGGGGTTCTCAACCCTGCCACCATCAACCCTAGGGAATGAACACTTAAAGATTTGTACTGGAATAAACACAAACACAGAAAAACTGAAAACAAACATACACAACATACTCCTATGACACAGGAGCTTGATATTATTGCTCCCCCACTATGCCCACCCATCCTTGACCCTTTAGTCCAAATACACTCAAAAAATTTAAAAAGGGCCCCAAAAAGCCACACTCACTCGCTTACAACGCCTAACCTCCTCTCTCACAAATAAAATTTAGCACAACATATTATTTCTTTAGACAATTAGACATTAAGCTTATTTATTAGAATCATTATCGTTCTCTTAAAACTAATTTCAACACGAACACATAAAAAAAACTGGATTATTAACACCCGAACGAAAAACAAAAATTGTGAGTCAATACTCAGATTACCTTTTTTTATTACCCTGCTAGAAGCGCCAATTTTGGCCAATACAAGTACTTTAAATTTCTGCCTAAAGGAGCTCACTTAGACAAATCTTTTGGGCATTTCAAATCCTTGTCCCAAACAGAAAAATCGAAATTTTCTAGCTGTAAAATTTTGAGGCAACCCTACACTCACTAACAATAAGATTTAATGGGCATTAATTTTCCTCACATTTGTATCTTAAGCACTATTTATCTAACTACAAACAATACGTTTAACTTATATACTAAACTACACACTAACAAACAAATATTTTTTATAGCTTCTTTTTTTCTTTTGGTCAAATTCGGATTAATTGATGAATTTCATATTTTTTTCTTTTTTATTTCAGTGGTGTTTCCGTCAAAGGAAAAGGAACTTCATATGACTTTTTTCAGCGGGATTTGGCTTTCTTTCTTTTCTTTGGTAAGTAACTTAAATTTTGAATTACATTACCTTCACAACGGCATACTTAGGCAACTTTTTATCTTCTTTTTACAGATTTTTAGGTGGGATCTACTGATTAGCTTCCCGGATTGGTACTATCGCCTGTTCCAAGGGTTATCCACTGGCAGTTTCCCAGGTCTTTTGGCCGTTTCCAGAACCTTTTCGTTGCCTGGAACCCCTGTGCCGCACCTGGCGATACAAAAATAATTGTTGGGGATGCCCGCTTCTTTTTCGTCCAAGTCGGATGGCGTTGTCCAGTTGTGGATTTATGCGCGGCGTTATTCCTAAATAGAACACAAAAACTTAACACAACACATCCGACATAACACCACTTACAAATCAACACTTACAAATTGTTTAGATACGCCACACAAATAAAACACACAAATTGTAACTGCCAATTCAGTATTTCCTTTTTATATTCACAAAAAAACATTTAAAAATTGACTGAACTGTTTCTGTTCCACACCACTTTGAAATAATGGCGCTTTTCGCCCTCTCTGTGCTTTATATACGGCCACCAAGGACGCTCAACCAAACTTTCCCTCTCTTCCAAGATTTTCCCATAATTTCCCTGACATTTATTATTTACCTTTATCAGGTGTTCTACCTACCCACTATTATCCCCAGTGTTGTATTTTTGCAACACATCTCTCATGTTGTACAATACACAACATGAAACTTGGCATCACTTTTTAAAATTTAGCCGGCCGCCCTGCGTATCCGGTTCTCTTTTTTGGCTGGCGTTCAGCACGTTCGGTGCATTAAATTGCACATTATAAAAATTTTACAATGAGGATGAACGCAACAAAACTTCACCACTTTAGAAAAAAAATTAAAAAAAAAGTGGTGATGTGCGTGAATCCTTACATCCAGTCGTAGACGGAATATAAAATTGTGGATTTAAGTAAGTTTCTCCTTTTTTTTTCGCCACCACCATCTCGCGTGGAATGACTACGCGACCAAACCAAATTTCTTGTGTTTCATTTTATTCCTTCGGACAAAGGTAAGAATTCCCTTTTATAATAAATTCCCCCCCAGAAATATAATCAATTTATATTCTTTTATTGCAGACAAATCAAAAAAAATGCCATGTTCATTCTTGGGAGTCTCATGTGTAAGTATGTGTGTGTGCAGGCACGCTGCATCCATTGAAAAAAAATTCCATGCACACACACATGCACGAAGTAGTTGCAGTCGTGTAAACGCACATGAAGGGTGCGCAACGCCGTTCATTCACCTACATCGCCCATTCATGCCGTTTGTCGATTTATAAATCCCTATGCGACTTTGCCGTGTATTGTTGCAGCTCATTCATCGGAATCGGACAAACCAAAAACAGGTAGTAACTTTTTAAAGAAATAAGGTATTTGTACATTCTAACTCCTTGTATTTTTTTTGTTTTTAGAAATTTGGCGAAGTTGCACGCACTCATCAAACAATTTATAACCAGGTCTCTATATTGTGCAGGTAGTCATTTTTTGTATTTATGCATCTGCAAAACAATAGTTTTGTTGTCATTTTCTTTTCCCATATTTACTAATGTTTTTCTTTTTTCCTTTTCAGGTAAACGACCATGGTTGTGTATAAAAATAAAGTGCAAGTGATATTTAAAATTGGCAGTGCATCTGCCTGAAACTTATTTGTGCGTTATGAAAAAAGTATAAAATTAAATTTAAACAACAAAAATAGGATATCCAAACGGCTTCAAATCGCTGCATAAGGAGTAAACTGCTGATTGGCGTATTTCAAGAACATAATTCAGGTGAGTAAAAAATAATTTTTGTAGTGGATTATTTTATAAAAACCGAAAGTGTTCGTTTGGTAATGAACCAAGCAAAGCCCACTAAAGAGTATTGACATAGTGAAATGAGTCAACGCCAAGACGAAGCGACTAAAGATTACAGTTGGGATTACCGTTGGGAACTATTCCAATGTATGAAGCCTGGTAGAAAAATACAGGTAGTCGCATCGACAATGGGACAATGAACTGTCACCCCGATATTGGAATTGAAAATGTTGAATGAAAAATTATAAAATTTGTAAGAATTTTTTTTTGAAAGAACGCATATTATAACAAACTCTAAATTGCGTCGTATAAAACATTTAAAAATCCACTTATCAAACATTATAAAAATTTTGACATATCAATGTTCTTAAGCGTGTACCTATATTCTTTTCCCATGGTATGAAGATGGTTTTATGGAAATGTGTTATACGTGTACAAACTGTGTAGAATTTAAAAATGTTGGTTTAGTATGAACGACTGAATCTGGGATTTGGAAATTATGTATTGGGGGTATCTGGTGGTGGTTGGATTATGAAAAAGAAGTGTTTTTAGAAAAGTGTACGAAAAGTATTATGGTATTGGATGAAGATAAAAAATTAAAGACATTTTGATGGAAATGACGAAAAAATTATTACAATTATTCTTTCTTAAAGCCGAAAATTCGATATTTAAGGTTCTGATAGAAAGATTATGCCAAAGTGAACAAATTGTGTTTCTTTTTGGAGTACTAAAATTACTACCTCAGGCTTTGTAACAATTCAAATGCCTTTTTACTATAAAATGTTGAATTCTAAATGGGACAATGCAGAGTATTGTGTGAGCAAAAAAAAACTTTCCGTGAATCTTCAAAACTGAGCTGAAAAGTATCTAATTCTGTTTTGCTAAATTGCCAAAGAACAAGTGGTAAGCTGATACAATGTTGTAACATTAGATATTCATTGATAGACAAACACTGAAAAGATGAGTACATATTAAAAAAAAAACAAAAATTGACACAACTTTCGGGAAATTTTCTGAAAATACAGGAAAAACAGAATACCTATAAATGAATAGAATAAAAAAAATCTTCTATGGTTTTTAATTGAGAAGAAATACAAACTATCATAAGGCCATATGAACAAAAACCAAATGATATCGACTATATTTTTGCATTCCCCGAAAAAAAAAGGATAATATTGAAAAAAGATATTTAATCAAAACAAATGAAAATCAACAGCAATGCAAAGGGGATATGATTTTATTCTTCCCTTATTCACATTGCCACATTATATTACTCTTTTAATCTTAGTTGAAAAATCTGTTATGCTTTTAAAATAATTTAACGAAAATCAACTAAATTTCCACGATTGTAATGTGAGAAATATAGGTTGCCAGGTAACAATTGAATACTTTAATGCCGGAAATGGTTGTTAGAAAAAAATCTACGGAACTTTTCATGAATATAAACGGACTTTGGTTGTTTGAGACAATCAGAGATGGTGGCTATTGTATTTTGAAAGGAATTAAATGGAATATTGGTCTTTCTACTTATGTTTTCCACAACGTGGGGAACTCCCACACCCTGAAGTCTCATTCAGCCGGGCTCTTTAGCTGTTATCTTTGCTTTAGACATACAATTTAAAAAAAAAAAAAAAGTTGACAATAACGACTGAGAAAAAAAATTCTGAGCAATACAAATAAATAATTTAGGACAATAACGAACTAATTTAATTATCCTATATTGCACTAGTAAATTCTATATCACAGATTTTTATTATTGCGTATTTCCTTTCTAATCGCATATCTATTGCACAAGACCCTCAAGACATCCACATCCTATTTGATAATACAAATCTTAAATTTATAAAACAAATTCTATGTATAAAAACAACGACACATTATAATTTATAAAATAGACATACACGACATACATTTTATAAATTATATTGCACTTAAGTAATTATATCACAGTAATTATATCTCACATCATTTTAAGCTTTTATATCCTTGACGTGGAAGTTTCCAAGGGGTTTCCCTTGCAGAGTCTCCAGCTCATACATATTGTTTCCAATAGGTCTCACGATTCTGCACTTCAAAAACTTCTTGCAAAATTTCGCATTTATATTATTCTTGAAATCTGAGAGAACGTGATTCCTACGAAAGACTTCCTGGCCTGGACGAAAAGTTACATTTCGTGATCTACTATTGTACCTTTTGGCACTGGCCTCATAAGCTTGATGCATGTTTTTCTTGATGTTTTCTCTCATTAATTCTAATCTATCCTTTCTGTTAAATTGTATAATTTGGTGGTCAGTGAATGATTTGAGTTTCTTGGCTAATCTGTAATCATTTCCGTTGGTAAACATATTGTATCCGAACAATGCAAAGAATGGGTTAACCCCTGTGGCGGAGTGTACCGACGTTCGGAGAGCTTGCTCGATTTCAGATAGGTATAAGTCCCAATCTCGGTGATCTTTCTCGACATAAGTCCTTATCGCCGCCAGTACAGACTGGTTCACTCTCTCTGCCGCATTTGATTGTGGAGAGTAGTACGCTGTCGTTAAATGGTTTATTTTGTAGTTCTTAACCATTTCTTGAAACATATTTGAGACAAATTGTTTTCCATTGTCACTATGGATTGTTTCTGGGACCCCAAATACACGAAATACTTTGTCCTCCAGAAATTCCACAACATTTTTAGCGGTAGCTTCTGTCATCGCATGTAAAAAGATGAATTTAGTGAAATGGTCCATGACAATAAAAATGTAGGCGTTTCCATTTTTAGATCTGGGATACTTTCCGAGGAAATCTACATAAAGTTTTTGGAATGGCCTTTCTGTGATAACCTCGTTTCCTATGGTGGGTCGCATAATAGAATTTGACGATTTGGTTTCTTTGCAGACTTGGCAATTGGACACGTAATTTTTTACTTGGCATGCCATTTTTGGCCAATAATAATACGTTTTTAAACGTTTCATAGTTTTATTTATGCCATCGTGGACAGACTGATTATAATTGTGGGCCTTCTCAATCATCGTATAGGTAATTTCTTCCGGTATCCACAATTTCCATTCAAATTCCATCGTCGTTTCATCAAAATTATTCACTCTTATGTAAATTTTGTCGTTGTCGACTTTTAAATCGGGTAGTCTTTCTTGATTCTCTATTATTGTTTTTCGCAACTTCAGGTACTCCTCGCGAAATCCAAAATATCATCGTTAGTGATTTCTTCTACTGCTATCTCCGATTCAATTGGTAGACGGGATAAGGTATCAGCCACAACATTCTCAGATCCTTTTCGGTATTCAATTGCAAAATCAAAAGCTTGAAGCTGCAGAGACCATCTAGCAAGTCTCCCACTTAAATCTTTCAGTGACATAAGCCACTTGAGACTTTCGTGATCTGTGATCATGGTGAATTTCATGCATTCCACGTATGGTCGAAATCTCTTTACGGCAAGAACCGCCGCCAAACATTCCTTCTCAGTTACCGAATAATTCCTCTGACTTGAATTTAGTTTTTGCGAGTAGAAAGCAATTGGATATTCCCAACCATTATCATCTCTTTGGAAAAGAACGGCTCCAATTCCGTACTCAGATGCGTCACACTGTATGAAAAATTCTCGCTGAAAATCGGGATGTCGAAGCACTGGTGCCGAGGTGAGAGCTTTCTTCAGTGTTCGGAATGATTCACATGCTTGTGGTGTTATCGTAAATGTCTGCCCCTTTTTTAATGTATCAGTTAGGGCAGCGGATATGGAAGCGAAATCTTGTATGAAACGACGGTACCATCCGGCCGTTCCTAAAAAGCTTCTTACTTCTCTTGGAGTCTTTGGTATCGGTATTTTTAGAATTGCGCTGACTTTTTCCGGATCGGTTTTTAAACAGCCGTTTCCGATTTTGAACCCAAGATACTTCAATTCACGGAAACAAAACGAGGACTTTTTGAAACCAATTGTTAAGTTGGCCCTCTTTAAACAATCTGCTACCTCGCTCAACAATTTCAAGTGCGTTTCAAATTCATCAGATATAATCAGTAAATCACCTAAATATATGAACACGTTGGACTTCAGTTTACCAGGTATTACTCGATCCATCAAACGACAGAGTCGTTGCGCCGCATTGCATAGACCAAACGGCATTACTCTGAATTGGTATAGCGGTCGACCTGGTACTGTGAAGGCTGTGTACGGTTTGGCTTCTTCTTCAAGTTCTATTTGCCAAAACGCGTACTTCAGGTCGACACTGCTAATATAATGCGTTTGATCTATTCGACTCAATATCCCATCAATGTTCTGCAATGGATATGCATCCTTGATGGTTAATGCATTGAGTTTTCTCGCATCTAAACAGAATCTGTTTTTGCCTGGTTTTCGCACTACGGTAGTCCTGTTGCTCCACGGTGAATCGCTTTCTTCAATCACGTTTAGTTTGATCATGTTATCAATTTCTCTATAGACTATTTCCTGTACGGCGGGCGACAGAGGGTAATGTTTGTCCTTGACAGGATTTGCTCCTTCTATCAATTTAATGGCATGTTTCTCCAACTTGGTACATCCCAATCCATTCTTTTCAAATGTCGGAAATTTGTTTACAACTTCATTTAGCTGTTGCTGTTGTTCCTCTGTTAGAACATGCATATTTTCATTATCATTAGCTGAATTCCCATGAATTTTTTGCTGAAGTTCCAGATTTATTTCTTCTGTGGGAAATATTTCGGGTGCAATTTCAAATATCTTCCAAAAATCTATCCCTAAATATAATTCCTGTTCTCAGTCAGGACATAGAAACAATGTCATTTTAGCTAACTGACTTTGATATTCAACATCGACTTCAATTGTACCTAAAATGCGGTGCCGTTGACCAGAAGCAGTGGTGACATTTGAACTATAGAGTTTTACATTAGTTCCTATCTCTTCCACTATTTCTCTACAATTTCTTCCCAGTAGACTGACTGTAGCGCCAGAGTCTAATAAACCTCTAACTTCCTTTCCTTCAATTTTTATCGTAACATATGGTCTTAAATCTGTTTTATATTGGCATCGGACTATTGATTCAGACACTGATTTCTTTAGCAATTTAAATTGTTTTTGCTTTTGCCTTAGTTTTGAAATTCTTTGTTTTTTCTTGAATTATTTGCTATTCATTTCATTTTGATCTTCTCCGAATATTCTTGACCTTATTTCCTCATAATTTTGTTCCCTGACCTCCAATGGTAAATAATGTCGAATTTTAGGGTAAATTTGTTTATCGGTTTTACTTTTTTCTAAATCGATTGTGGATTCTGATCGGCGGGCTGCTCGGCAGAACGGTGGTTTCCCGCTGTAACCAGGTTCTTTCTCGAGTTTCCCAATCGACAATTTGCACATTTCGGCGTAATGGTATTCTGCTTTCCACACTTAAAACAAAATAGATTTCTTTGAGTGGAAAGACAATCCTTGAATCCGTGGCCGGGAGTTTGGCAATTCCAACAGACTAATTGAACATTGACTGCTGAAACATCTACTACTTCATCTGGTTCACCGAATACCTGAAAAATTTCTTTGTCATTCTCTTCATGCATCGCATTTACACGAGCTGGTTTATTGTAAGTAGGAGTAGTAACTGGGGCAGGATCGCGTCGAAAGAATGTCTTTTCAATCTCAATACACTCAATTCTCAATTGCTCAAGCGAGGATACTTGCATCGAATAAACAATACCTGAAATATTCTTTCGCACATTTTTCTTAGCCAGGGAGATCATTTCGTATTCCGAAACTGGTCTTTCTAGCTTAGATCTCATTGCGTTTAAGTCGTGGAAGAACGAGTTTATCGATTCTCCTGGCATTTGCTTTCGCTCTAACAAATCACGCATTTCTTCGAAGCATGTTCTTCTGGTTTTGAACCTTTCACACAAGGCATGTTTTAATGACTGCCAAGTAGAAATATTGTTATTCATTTGTTCTAGCCAGAACCATTCATTAGCAGGGCCTGAAACTAAAACATGGAACTCATTCAAAATATCTTTCCATGGAAGGTTGTAAAACTTTTGAAAATGTTCTAGCCGGTATATAAAGTCTTCTACTGACAAAGTATTGGGTCTGCCAGAGAAATTTATCCCAAATCTCTCAATTCTTATACCTTGAAAATTTTGAAAACTCATGAAGGATGGAGTAATAGTATGGGTACGGTTTATAGGTGGGTTATTTACGCTATTTGGGGGTGAAGAAGGGGGTTTAGGATTTAATGTAGGAATTGGTTGAGGCATCTGAATTGGTGGTGCACTTTGATTGCTGATCGACAATTTTGCGATTGCATCATTTAATTTATCTACTACAGTGTAAACCTTTTCCATCTCCTTGCTCACGCTCTTTTCAACCAGAGCCTGCAGATTTGCCTGGGCATGGTTCAAACTATCTTGCACCAAACTTCTGACAAGTTGGTCAACTTCTTTTGGTTGCATTGGCACAGAGGGTTGAGGCATGTTAGAAGGCATTTTAGCTGCAGCACTAGTGCTAGGATTAGGGTTATTAATTGAACCTGATAAATCCCGAACAGTTGGGTTGACATTAGCGTTTTGCATTTTTTCTTAGTTTTCGGTTTTGGTGATGCAATTGAAGTTCTGCTAAGGTCAAACACTAAAGATCTATTTCTTTTCCTGCGATTTTTCCCTACCGTAGCTGCGTTCATTGATATTACTATATATGAAAAGATGGAAATACTTATGTGGTTGGCTGTAAAGATTGTATGGAATGAACTACAAACTAATTAATTTTAAAAGACAATAAAAGGGATTAATGTATTACACACAGTTATAAAAATAGTAAATATTAATAAAACAAAACATTTATAAATCAATAGGTTAAATAACAACAAAACAAAACAAATAAAAATCAATAGGTTAACAAAACAAACAAAATTTAAATTTTCAAAGACAATGACAAATATGAGAGGAGTTTAGGAGTATTTTCAGCTGTAATAAGGTGTGTGTGTGGGGTATGCTTTTCAAACAAAAAAAAAAAAACATGATTTTATTTTATAGTGACCTATTACGGTTGTCATAGAGTATTGACTAGGTTGGACTTTACAATTACAAACATTGAACTTTCCATTTAGAAATTAGCACCGTGGCAGTTTTCTCCAATATTTAAAGAAAAGAGATCTCACGAAAGGATAAAATTAGTGCAATACAGTCTGTGGCCCATCGGTTCGCAGATACTTTAGTTATCCTATGCTAACCTTAAAATATTGTCGCTACTCTAAAAAATTTAAACACATACACGTCAAAACACAGGTCATAAAACAATACAAATTTTGTTACACTTCACGAACAAAAGCTATTGCACTAGACCCTAATCAGTGGAACAGAATATCCTGATTTTTTACTTTCTATGCTAAATATTGCACAATTGACACTTTTTAATTACTTAGAAAGTGGTTGCAATATTCGCAAGCATGTAAAAAATGCGATATTTTGCTTAAATCTATTGTCTCCTATGGTATATTGCACAGTGCGTAGATTTTATTGCACATATTATTGGCTAATGTCTGGAAGACATTAATGTTTTCTTTTAGTCTTGGGCGCCATATTGTTGCATTCTGCCTACTCGGCGTTATGGTGGAGTTCCGCACTAGCTCAGGAGGGAGCGGTTAATCCAGGGGGTTCTCAACCCTGCCACCATCAACCCTAGGGAATGAACACTTAAAGATTTGTACTGGAATAAACACAAACACAGAAAAACTGAAAACAAACATACACAACATACTCCTATGACACAGGAGCTTGATATTATTGCTCCCCCACTATGCCCACCCATCCTTGACCCTTTAGTCCAAATACACTCAAAAAATTTAAAAAGGGCCCCAAAAAGCCACACTCACTCGCTTACAACGCCTAACCTCCTCTCTCACAAATAAAATTTAGCACAACATATTATTTCTTTAGACAATTAGACATTAAGCTTATTTATTAGAATCATTATCGTTCTCTTAAAACTAATTTCAACACGAACACATAAAAAAAACTGGATTATTAACACCCGAACGAAAAACAAAAATTGTGAGTCTGAGTATTGACTTTTTTTATTACCCTGCTAGAAGCGCCAATTTTGGCCAATACAAGTACTTTAAATTTCTGCCTAAAGGAGCTCACTTAGACAAATCTTTTGGGCATTTCAAATCCTTGTCCCAAACAGAAAATTCGAAATTTTCTAGCTGTAAAATTTTGAGGCAACCCTACACTCACTAACAATAAGATTTAATGGGCATTAATTTTCCTCACATTTGTATCTTAAGCACTATTTATCTAACTACAAACAATACGTTTAACTTATATACTAAACTACACACTAACAAACAAATATTTTTTATAGCTTCTTTTTTTCTTTTGGTCAAATTCGGATTAATTGATGAATTTCATATTTTTTTCTTTTTTATTTCAGTGGTGTTTCCGTCAAAGGAAAAGGAACTTCATATGACTTTTTTCAGCGGGATTTGGCTTTCTTTCTTTTCTTTGGTAAGTAACTTAAATTTTGAATTACATTACCTTCACAACGGCATACTTAGGCAACTTTTTATCTTCTTTTTACAGATTTTTAGGTGGGATCTACTGATTAGCTTCCCGGATTGGTACTATCGCCTGTTCCAAGGGTTATCCACTGGCAGTTTCCCAGGTCTTTTGGCCGTTTCCAGAACCTTTTCGTTGCCTGGAACCCCTGTGCCGCACCTGGCGATACAAAAATAATTGTTGGGGATGCCCGCTTCTTTTTCGTCCAAGTCGGATGGCGTTGTCCAGTTGTGGATTTATGCGCGGCGTTATTCCTAAATAGAACACAAAAACTTAACACAACACATCCGACATAACACCACTTACAAATCAACACTTACAAATTGTTTAGATACGCCACACAAATAAAACACACAAATTGTAACTGCCAATTCAGTATTTCCTTTTTATATTCACAAAAAAACATTTAAAAATTGACTGAACTGTTTCTGTTCCACACCACTTTGAAATAATGGCGCTTTTCGCCCTCTCTGTGCTTTATATACGGCCACCAAGGACGCTCAACCAAACTTTCCCTCTTTTCCAAGATTTTCCCACAATTTCCCTGACATTTATTATTTACCTTTATCAGGTGTTCTACCTACCCACTATTATCCCCAGTGTTGTATTTTTGCAACACATCTCTCATGTTGTACAATACACAACATGAAACTTGGCATCACTTTTTAAAATTTAGCCGGCCGCCCTGCGTATCCGGTTCTCTTTTTTGGCTGGCGTTCAGCACGTTCGGTGCATTAAATTGCACATTATAAAAATTTTACAATGAGGATGAACGCAACACATTATTATCCTATTATACTGAGTTTTTCATTTATGGTTTTGTGAAATCTTTCTATGTCTGTAAAACCCTTTTTGCTAGTGGTGTATTTTATTTCTAAATTAAACATAAACCACGAATCTTCATCTACTTTTATCTCCATTGGTTTTCCCATATCATTAAAGACTGAAAAATATTCTAGCATATCCCGACTGTCAACATCAATCAAGATGTCAACATTTAAAAGGCTAAAACTTTGCACACATGTTTATTTTTCCAGAAGGCAGGTTAAGTTCGTAAATGGGCCATGTAGGTCCACGTTTTCATATAGCCCCCATATAACAGTACCTCCCGATATTCGGTGTTTTGTTGATTTTAGCGACATTATTCACCGGAACAGAACAGAAAATTATCTGTGTAGGTCCACGTCTTCGTATAGCCCCATATAACGGTACCTACCAATATACGGTATTTTGACGATTTTAGCGTCATTATTCACAGGAATTGTTTCAAATTACGTATTTAGAATTCGTAATGGGAACTACAAAATTGTCTATGCAGGTCTATGTCTTTCTATAGGCACCATATATCAGTACCTCCCTATATTCGGTATTTTGATGAGTTTAGGTACAATACCAACCGAAATTGTTTGAGATGTCGTATTTGAAGTTCGTAATGGATGCTACAGCCTGTCAAAGAAAATTGTCTATGCTGGTCCAGGTCTTCTCTCATCTTCGATATAACGGTACCTCCCTACATACGATATTGATTGATTTTAGCTACATTATTCACCGTTTTATTTGAAGTTTCGAATTTGAATATCGTAATGGCTTATAACAAACAATGCCTATGTAGGGCCACGTCGTATAAACTCCAAGATAACGACTATATTCGGTATTTTTAAAATTTTACCAGAATTTTTAAGGGATTTTATTTTTTGAAAATTTCCAAATTCGTTCCAAATGGTGGAGGGTATTCAAAGTTCGGCTCGGCCGAACTTATTGATTTTTTACTTGTTATATATCAAATCTTCAAGTAGATCATCCATCTCTGAAAGGTTGCAGGGTCGTTCTTTCATCCACCTTGATTTTATTCAGATTGCGACAGTCAATAATTATTCTGAATTTTTGTTTTCCCGATGAGTCAATTTTCTTAGGTACTATCCAAAGAGGTGAACAGTAGGGGGATTTTGATTTCCTTATGATACCGTCGTAAGCCTGGGGATATTTATATGGTTTTCTAAAAATTGAATCTATATGTTTATTTTTAATAATGTACTATAAAGTACTCATGGCATAATTACAGAAGGTAGAACAAAGCTAGCCCCCAAATACAATTTTTTCTTTGGTGCCCTTATTCTGTCAAAACATATACTCATTTTTTGTATGTGTGTGCATTATTTTGAATAATAAATACAATAATTTCAAATTCGGTTGCAATGTTTAATATTTCTAGTTTCTTGGAAGTCAAATTTTTACCTTCCCTGTACTAAATATTTTAAAAACTTCATTTCTCATTTTTTTCCTCCTCATTGAGGTGTTTTAAGCGATATTGATTGGTTTCCTTCAAAGTTGCATTAATTGCAAAATTATAATTTGGCTTACCCTCTAATATTACAGCGTCTGCAATGTCCTAGGTTTGTCTGATCTCTTCAGAGTTTTTTTCTAATGTTAATCGTAGACTTGTTTAATGTTATAGTATTTTATGTGTAATTAATTCTAAATAATCACTTCAAAGAAGGATGTCACAATTTTCTGATAAATTATGTACATAAGATTATTTTGAATCGGACAAAGTTTTCTAGTTTTAAATTATTATTTATACTGGTGCAAAGTATTATGAAACCATTTATTGTATATACTTTCAAATTTTCCTTAAAAGTAGGAAATTTCATTAAATTTATTGATGATCCTGTATCTATGAGGCATTTTAAAGGCATTTTGTTCATTCTTATGCGTATAAACTAACTATCCCTTCCTCTTCCTCCTTTTCTGAGGCATCTAAATAAAATTTTTCATCTACATCCATTCTGAATTGACCACTAGTAGATATTCTTTGTTATTTTAAAGGTAGAATAGGTGCTTTGCATTGCATATTCTGTTGGTGGTTTAAGGGATTTTCCCTCCTACCCTGATGTGATTTTTCTCTCCTTTCTGATCACCATCATTACTACAATTGTTATTATAACTCAAGTACTTCAATCTATTTGGATAACTTGTGTGGATTCTATCCTTGGGCGATATGAAAGTTTCGTAAATCCCTTCTTTTTGTGCTACATGTTTAAGGTTAGTGTTCACAATAGCCCCTGATGATTTGAATTAATTCGCCAACACTGCACAGTGGTCGAGGTTGTATGGGAACAGCGGCCAAAAATACTTTCAGTGCAGATATCAATATGAGTCTTTGGGTTATGGTACCTTGATGGTTTAAAAATAAAAATTGTGACAAAATGGATATGGTCGGTGCAGGTTTTGGCACGGTCCCCTTGCAACGTACTTCCCGAATAAGAGTTATTTGTCCAATTCTTGTCACATTTCCACACCAGCTTGTTTTGTTATTTGACATTTTTCGTTCTAAGGAGTTGAAGAATAATCTTACTGAAAATTATTTGGAACTGACCGCTTTCAGGAATAGTCCCCCCTTAAAGGCACCTCCAAAAAAAAAAAAAAATATTTTTTATGCAAATCAGTTCCAAATTTTATTATTTTCACATTTTTTGTAAACAAAATAAAATAACTACTCAATATAAGATTAAATCAAAGTTATTAATGGATATTCATAAATTTCAGTGTTATTCAAGTGAATCAACTACAGGTTTTAATAATATAGATTTCTTATTATCCTGTTATAAAAGTGTTAGAGCTCAGAAGAGGACGTTTAATAAGATCTGTATTTGTTGAAATACGAAAATTTTTTCGGATATGATTTAGTCGAGATTTTTTATATCTTTGTTTCTAATTCTCCAATCGATACCATGCATATTTTATAATGTCGGGTGCATGTATTAAAATTGTATGTACTGTGGGTGGAAGTTAGTTATATGCTTATCTATTTTTTAACTCTTTAGCAGTTTCCAGCGCAAAGGCCTTAAATTTTTCGACATTAATATTAATATTGAACACCTGATATAACCGCAGATAAGATCGCATTTTGTGTTCCCGTCTTTTGAATATCCACTGCCTCCTTCTTTTGGATTATATAAAATTAAGCCCATTTCTTCTCGAAATTTCAATTGATTTTTTTTCCTTCTAAGTTTGACCTAATTTGTCATTTTTTGATTTCTTGTCTGTATAGAGAAAGTGCTCAAAAAAAAAAAAAAAAGAAAAAAAAAAAGAAAAAAAAAAGAGTATATGCATACAGATGTGATAATACAAATTCATAACTATCTGTTTGAACCTCTCTGTGGAAACGGGCTTCAATATTATTAATTTCTTTTGGGCTTGGGTTACACTTATAGCATTTAAGTGATGCCGGCTGAGTCAAGGCATTACATACCTTACCATCCATCATAGTAAACTGTTACTTATGACAAACAACATATAACGACAAAAAAATATTTCATTTCACCATAGAACTGACAAAATTGCAGCGAAGCAACTTCAGTATTTTGGGCATAGCATACATCTGACAAAATCTGAGAGTTAAATTAGCACTTTTAGAATCTTAGGACCAAAACTTTGACTGAAATTCAATTTCATTGTCAAAATTAATCTTAAAGGCAACTCAGAACACGCACATCTTCTATATTATACACAACTACTAAATCCACAAATTACTTCACTAAAAATAAGTCAATACCTTTCTTTTCAATAATTATGTCAAGATTTGCCATTTTGTTTAATTTTGTAATACAGACCTATTTTCACTCCACTTTTGCACTGATCCCACTGAAAAATCAACTAACTACATTATCTCTTTTTAATGCTATTCTCGAAGTGATCCGTTAAAATGAAGCCATTATTATTATGTTTTCTAGAAAGCCTAACCCCTTAAGAGTTGATGTGTAAACCTTTGACCATGAATATCTGATTTTCATTTTTTGAATTTTGGCTAATGGCAGCGACCACTGTGCACTGGTTAGTTTTATCGAAAAATGTTTATTTCGTATTGCCAAATTTTAGCGCAACCATGTGATTCAATTCCTAAGGTAAGTCAATTTTATTTAGGATAAAATATATTATACATACAAATAATTAGGTTATACGAACGAACAAAGTTTCGAATAGCCATTATACAGGAGGAGGTGTTGAGAGTATTTACTACTTCGATGTGGACTGCTCTCAATGTTAAGCAAATAAAGAGAGCTCCATATCGTTTCTCTGTGTGTCGTCCGACTGTAATCATTAACTGACCGAAGTAATCAACGCCAGTACAGGGTTGCCCATATTCGACGGACCTTTGGGGGTTCCAATCGACGAGGCTTGTCCGCAGGCAACATTCTTTGCGTCAATTGAATTTTGTACGGGAACAAACGCAAATCAATGCGAATAATCCGTTGTCAAGTGGACCGAGCCATGCCCAACTGCTGAGAACGGCGTTTTTGGGATGTTCTTGGGGACCTCTCAACACTGGCTCGTACGGCAGCGATATTCTCGGCCGATCGCCTTGGTCGACTTTT